TGGTAGTGGTAGTATTAGTGGTAGTATTAGTATTAGTATTAGTAGTAGTAGTAGTAGTAGTAGTAGTAGTAAGCAGTAGTAGTAGTAGCAGTAGGAGTGATAGTAGTAGTAGTAGTAGTAGTAGTAGTGGTGTAGTAGTAGTGGTGGTGGTAGTAGTAGTAGTAGTAGTGGTGGTAGTAGTAGTAGTAGCAGCAGCAGCAGCGGCAGCAGTAGTAGTAGTAGCAATAGCAGTAGCAGTAGCAGTAGGAGTGATAGTAGTAGTAGTAGTAGTAGTAGTAGTGGTGTAGTAGTAGTGGTGGTAGTAGTAGTAGTAGTGGTGGTAGTAGTAGTAGTAGCAGCAGCAGCAGCAGCAGCAGCAGTAGTAGTAGCAATAGCAGTAGCAGTAGGAGTAGTAGTAGTAGTAGTAGTAGTAGTAGTGGTTGCAGTGCGTCGTCGTCGTCGCATTTGTTGCTGTTTCTGTTGTTGTTGGTGCAGCAGCACCGGCGGCGGCGGCAGCAGCAGCAGCAGCAAACAGCAGGAGTAGAAGCTGCCAGCTCGCAAATTTCGTGATAGTACTCTATCAGTGTCTGCAAAGTTGCTCCCCTTTAAGAGCAGCATCGATGCAAGCAAGGCTTCGCCAGTGGGCAATCCCGTGTTGTGCGTGACCCAATTCAGAAAAAGCTTGCATGCGCCGCGTACACCAACGTGGCGACCTGCTGCAAGTGGCATTGTCAAGCAAGATCTCCACGTCATTGAACACGCTAATCACCTTGTTCTGTGCATCATGGAAAGGTCCCCGCAAGTCTGTGGTCTGAAGCCACACCGTCTCTAGACAAAGCACGGGAAGCTACCCAGAAATAAGTGAACTGACGAAGAGCTGCCAAGGCTCTCATCTTCGAATCTTCCAGAGCCCTGCAGCCTGGGTTCGAGTCCGAGTCGGGGTTGGTTGGGCTACAGAGTTGAAACTGGCATCTGGCATGACCTGTGCTCTTTATCGCACCAGCTCCTCTGCTTCCCTGTCACTGAGACGAGGGCTCCGCAAGCGCCGAGAACGATGGACAGCGAGGCGATACTCCAGGAGAAGACCTCAACCGTGGGGATGCGTGATACTTGTGCATCTTTGTTGAATACTCAATACTCAAGAGCCCATTTAGACTTTGCATCGAGTCTTCCGACGTCAAGGAACCTCGCGAGCACCACGACATCAAATGGGCTCTGGCTTGCTTGGCATCTCGCAAATGCGAGTGGGTTTCAAAGAGCCTGCGCATGCCTTCGTGAGAAACACCTTTCTACAGTACAAAACATAAAGAAAGGCAAAGGTAACAGGGCCAGACCAAAGCCATCTCCGAGATGTCAACTCATTCATGACCCAGGACCTAGCCTCAAGACACGGAGGTTGGGTCCGAGAAGCTGAAGCCGCAGCAGAGTCAGCTGCAATGGCCTGTGGAGCATGGAGCTCACAGGTATCTGGTGACATTGAATAGAAGTTGGCCACTCGTCTTCTAGTCTCGAAGTCTCGACGGGAACCTTTCCTATGACACAGGATGATCTTGTAGGACGTGTGTGGACGACATGGTGTGAGGTTCATGTGTAAAAAAAGGCGGAGCAGCCACGGCTGTTAAAGCCGTAGCTCGCCGAATTAGGGAATCAAGGGCAACAGAGGAACAGCGTCTGAGCAGGACACCGATTCCAACGAAGCCAACAGATCCGAGGCTCCTGGGATGCATACCCCTGTGGCAAAGGGACTGTCGATGGCATGGCAGTCCGAAATCTGCTGACGTCACTTGTTGACTTTTTGAATCTTCGAGTCGACATCTTTCAGTCCGAAACGGTGAATCTCAGAAAGCTTGCCCAGTCGCATCAGAACATGGCAGTAGAAGGCACGGCGGGACACCAGCGGCCCAGTCTCCAAACCGACTGCGCAGCGTCGCTAGAAAAAGGAGCTTGTGGCACCAACACCTCACCCCAAGCAAAACGGGAGAGATGTTTCCTACAAGTGTAAAACCGGTTGCAGTTGCAATCAAGGCACTCAGTAGAAGTCCAAAGACAGCGGCCCAATGGCTAACCCATCGCAGGGAGTGCTCAGCAGCTTCGCAGCATTCCATCCCGGTTGCTACTCTCAAACGCGCGATTTGAAAGAGCACCATGCCTGCCAGGGCACTGGATGACAAAGCGTGACTGCCCACTTTCAAACAGTTCTCTTGGTGTTTTGAAAGGCGCAGCCTAGCGAACATGCCACTATGCAAGAACTGTCATGCTCTCATGCGATAGCTGAAAATGGATCTCAATGCCGTGCAAACTCACGCGTGCAAGCTGGCATGCAAGAATTGTCATGCTACCATTGGCTACCACGTGCTAGCTTCTGATTCTAACTGATCTCAACACCGTGCAAACTCGCGCACGCACGCTGGCACACGTTCTGCAGTGACCCAACTCTCCGTTTACATCGAAAACGTACGTCTGCACACGGATCAAGGCTGGAGGGTGATCAGCCGGAAGAGAAAGGAACATGCCCAGCGACGGGAGGCAGGGTTCCTTAAACCCATACGATGCGTTTCAAGCCTCGTCACGAAGTTCAGCGACAGTGACTCAGTTCGCCTTTTCCATCGAAGGCGTCTGCACACGGATCCAGGCTGTAAAGTCGTCAGTGGGGTGAAAGGAAAATGCCGAAAATCCCGGATGGAATTACTAACCGTGTGACGAACAGTCTCCGTTCCGCAGTCTGCACCAAACGTTGCTCTCGATCCCATGTTTCTTGAATTCCCACGCCTGCTGTAGGAGGCCTGGGAAACCCGCCCCAACAGCTGAAACCGTTGTCTTCTGCTCTCCGTGGCAACGAGGGCACTCAGAAAGCCCTGCCGCAGTCCTGCATTTTCTGGAACGTGCATCTATAGGTGGCGATAGGCCTGGTCCCCGTTTGCACAGGGCACTCCTGTCATTTCTGACTCCCTAAACTTTTGCTCTTCGCGACCTCAATACCCGTCATTTCTGACTACCTGCCCATCGCTTCGCCGAATAAAGATTGACCCACAAATCTTACAAAACGCTGGCAGGCGTGTGGTTTCCCGTAACACCGTGCCGGTCATCTGCGACTACCTGTTCTTGTTGCCTGCTTTTCTTTCCTGTGATCCAAAAACAACAGCGGTCATTTGTGACTAGCCCTTTTTTCTTCCTGTCAGGGTTTAGGGTTTAGGGTTTCAGGTTTAAGGTTTAGGGTAGGGTTTAGGATTTTGAGTTTAGGGTTTTGGGTTTTGGGTTTGAGGACTTGGGTTTAGGGTTCCGGGTTTAGGGTTTAGGGTTCCGGGTTTACGGTTTTGGGTTCAGGGTTTAGCACGGTAGTCACAAATGACGGGTGCTTCCAGGCTGGAATTGGCGACGCTGCCATGGTTTCCGCACATCTGGGCATGTGAACTGGATTGTGTTGATCCTGCATGCAGAAGGCAGGTAGTCGCAAATGACCGGTGTCGAGATGCCGAAAGTACAATATTCGCTAGGCGCGGTGCTCATTTTCAAGAAATCTTGGTTTTCCCTAGGTGCGGTGCTTTTTTCGCTGAAAATGCAGTTTTTTTCCTAGGTGCCGTGCAGTTTTAATTCTCCGTAGGGTTTTTCCCTAGGCGCGGTGCATCTTTCGCACAGAATTTGCATTTTGCTTCGGCCGGCTGCAACATGTCTTGAAAACAGTTGTTTTTCCCTAAGCGTTGTGTCTTTTTCGCGGGTCACACAACCAGTTCGCGACCCTAGTGATTCTGCAAAGGTCTAGGTTCTGGAGCTTCTAGCTGGCTTTTGGGAAGCCCGAGACCCCACCGCTTAACAGTTTGAAGACTAGCAGAGTCTTCAGGCATCCATGTGCCTGAAAACCCTAAACCCTAAAACCTATTCTCCTTCCGTTGCTCGTCACACTGCTTCGCGGCCGCCGCAGGTGATCATGAACCACGCAGAGCATAACCCAACCCTGAACCCTAAGTCGTTGGATAAGGTCAATTCGTGTTATCCAACGAATTTTTGACCTTAAATTCGTTGGGCAGAAATCGGTTTGACCTTAAATTCGTTGGACAGAAATCGGTTTGACCTTAAGTTCGTTGGACAGAAATCGGTTTGACCTTAAATTCGTTGGACAGAAATCGGTTTGACATTAAATTCGTTGGACGAAAATTCGTTGGATAAGGTCAAAAATTCGTTGGATAAGGTCATCTTGTCTTATCCAACGAATGTTTGACCTTATCCAACGAATAATCGTCCAACGAATTTAAGGTCAAACAAATTCCTGTCCGACGAATTTAAGGTCAATTCGTCCAACGATTTTAATGTCAAAAATTCGTTGGATACGGTACTTATGATGTTTGTTGGGATGTGCCATGTGAAGGTAAGCCGTTAGTGTGGAAGACTGAACGTTTTATTTTCCAATGTTATGGGATTCTATGGGTGGGTGGGTGTTTGGTCTAATTCGTGAAAGTAACTATACTTAAAAAACTGCTCGACCGGAGCTGCTGAACCCTAATCCCTAAGCCTTAAACCCTGAGGCCCAAACCCTAAACCATAACCCCAAAACTCAAAACCCTAAACCGAAAACCTCAAACCGAAACCCTAAGCCCTGAACCCTAAACCCTAATCCCTAAACCTTACACCCTAAGCCCTAAACCCAAAACCGTAAATCGGTCCCCAAGACAGCCGAGTTCTTCAAGATATACGTGAACAAAAGGATGAAAGCCCTAGGGAGTCACAAACGACCGGAGTGCCCCTTTTGGGCTCGGCATGGCTGCGATTCGCAATAGCAATGTATCCCAACGCTTTCGCAACGTCTGCAGGGAGAAGGACCAGCGTCTCTGATCACGCGACAGGGAGCCTAAAGCTACGACGACGACTGTAACAGGTCCTCGGCCTCAGGCCCTGGTCGTCTGGAGGACCTCGCCCATCCGCATCAAACCATCAACAGTTCGAGCAAAGCAGCATGCTTCCCGTACCCATTCCCGCTTGATGCACCCTGCGAGCAATGAAATGAGGAGGACAGGAAGAACAACAGTGTGATGAGTCGTCGGTTCAATGGCTCAACGGCAAACCAGGCGAAGCCAGGGTCCCACGCTGGATATGCCTCCTCAGAATGGGCTTGAACGCAGTGATAGACCTGATCCATATAGGTCGCGCCCATAAAGACGCCACCCAGTCAAACACAAGTTCTGCGCCAAAGGGCTTCATCCAATGAGAAAATCGAGATTGGAGCCACCAACCTCAAGGAGCCATGAGCAAAAAAACGTGGCTATCTCGGCCCTGCTAATCCCTGCTTTGGAAGAACAGCTCCGCCACCCTGTAACCGTAACCCGGCCGGTGACCTCTTTGCAGCACTAGCCACGTCATCGGCATTCCGAGGAAGGACGACTGAAATCCAGCAGACAAGAAGGACAAGGATGACTGCAGGGCTCCAGGGTGCCCGAGGGTGGAAACGAAGTCGATGACCTTCCCGTCTTCTTGGCAGCGGCAGAGGAGCTGTGCAACAGCTTTCATTCTGATAGTGGGGGCCGAAGACGTGTAAGTAGCTGACCGACAAGGCAACGGCGATATAGCGAGTTCCACTCCGGGCACAGGAGGCGGAGGTGTCTGCCATCGAGCCAGGCAGGTTCGTCTGACACGTGAAGACGCTGGTCGTGCCGGGCCTATGCACTCCGGTGTGTCAGCACAGCATTCCACCCAAATGTCACTGCCAAGCAAGGGCTTTATAGGGAATACCAGATTTGGCAAGCCCCAGTGGTTATTGATATCTTTGTGCGACGTACTCTTCCCCAAGTAATGCTACCGTGGTGCAAGGAAAATGCGCAGCGACGGGCGATGGCTGTGACACATTGGCAAACCAGCCGGTAGCAGCTGGGAACTGCGGACAGACGCATTACGGAGGCTGCTGCGGGGCTCGTGGACATACACCCCCCCTTGTCCAGTACTTGGCAATACCTGCGCCTCCGAAGCACTTTCTATCGCCGGAATGAAGCAGGTCAAGTAGCTCTCGCACAGGCGAGTAGTTATGTCGAGATAGGACCGGAGGGCGCAAATGAGACTGCTGTGTTCGCCAGCGGGTATCCCAACAAAAAGGCTAAGCATTGACTAACGGGCCGGCTTTGGACTTGTTGGCCCTGAACGTGCGCCGATGCCTGCAACAGCATGCTCACATGAACCCTGCATGCTTGACTCGTGGCACCGTGCTCGAAGGGGGACGCCCCGAGATGGGTCATCCGAGGCGTTCGGGTCGGACCGAATTCCCAAGCCGGGCAACGGCCCCAGGACACGGAAATTGCTGCCGCCCGACTCTGGCCAGGACGTAACAACTTCACGCAGGATCGTCCCTTAGCAAGGGCTCCTCGGGCGCATAGGAATTGAGCAGTCTTTCAGCAGTCGAAGCAGTTTATGTGCCTGACCTCGTCCCCGCGCCAGGCCGGAAAGACTTCCCAAGAAGAAACTGTGCATCGTTGACCGCGGCGTTTGCTGGCTCGGGATCGCGCCACTTTGCAGCGCCAAGACATGCCGTGCCTTGTAACATGCGAGACACAAAGACAGATGCTGGGAGTGCCCGCGAGCGAAAAAGAGGGACGTGCAAGGGTTGCTCTCATCGGCTGCAGAAGAATGAGGCGACAGCCGGCGGCAGAAATGCCGACTTGTCAGAACTCCGGAGTCCACCGCGAAAAACATCATTGCGGGTACACAGGCCCTGACGGCCATATTGGGCCATATTGAAAAGGCCAATGCGACAGCGGACCTTCACGTCCCTCACTCGGGCAAGGCGTGTGCAAGACAAGGAAGTGAAAGGATGAAAGCAGTGATTTCAAGCTGACAATACGACTGCAAAGGAGGTACCGGTACCCTGGCAGTGCAAATCACAGCACCCTTCCGAAATCAGCAACAAGGCCTCCCGCAGCAAGGGGCCCCACGCAATACCTTGAATCCATACGATAGGGTTGAAGCATCGTCACTAGGTTCAACCACCCTCTGCTCTTAACCTCTCACCGAGTGAAGGAGCCACACAAGGGGACTTGGCCTGCCCTGCACGTGTATCTGACGCAACACAGCTGAAGATAGCTGAAGAAGCACTCCGTTGGCAAGCACTGGCCTGTGAAAAATGACAGCCTGTGCAATGGTGTTTGTTTGGCGCACGAGCATTCGTCCACATGCGGTAAACCTCCAAACCCTAAACTAACATGCCTTGGGACTTTCCGTGCTGCAAACTCTGGGATGCCACAAGAACTGCGATCTGCGTGCTCGACATGTGATTTAGATTGATTTAGATGATAAACAATGCCCTCTGCTACGATCAGCGACGGACCACGCCTCGAACAAGCAGTGGCTCTGTGTCAAGATGCAAGAGAGAGCAATAAGTCTTGCAAGCACCGTCGACATCCTGCACCGTTCCGACTCCGTGTTGCTTCAGATATGCCACACTGAAGTTGGCTCGAATGCTTCCGCTGGTGCTTGCCAAGCTTGCCCACTGGTACGCCAAAGTCGTCTCATCGCTCGACAGGTAAGCATCAGCTACATCAAGCATGGCATCGACATCGCCAGAAGCAGCTGCTCTGCGGCGATAGTCCAGCTCACATTCTCGAGCAATCCCCAGTCCTGTTGATCTCCAACATCTGAAGTGCCATTGCTCTGCATTCCCCTTAGCCCAAAGATCAGCGGCATTGATATGGCTGCTCATTGATCCCAGTTCAGATAGCAGAACGTAGTGAATCAACGCAGCTTCCTCATGGCTCTCAAGGAAATTCCTTCGCGCGTCACTGTGCAAGGACAGCACATCCTCAGCTGTGCACTTCTCCGGGCATGCACAGAACCTGTAACCTACAAATAGTTCAGGAAGATCGGCAACTGTTGTTCAGAGACAACAATCAATTCACGGCTGTAGCTATCACATGCTCCATACTTGGAGGTGGCCTCAAATATTAGACTTGAGACGGAGGGTTTTGACAGAATCGCGGGTGTCCTTCTTCTATACTTGTTCTAGCCGTGTCGTCCCGCTTCTGTTGCGCCAGGTCCTAAAGATCCCGGGATCGACTCTACGTCTATGATATTTTCTGATAATGTGAAATATGCCTGCTGGCTTCCCAACCCTCTTGGTGAATCGCTTATTAAGGCTCGCAGGTTGCTCACAGTGGCATAGATCAATCAGATCGATCTGTGTGAGCTGCAATGGCTTGGCCTCTAGAATCTGCGCACAAGAACAACAACGACAACCACAACCAAAACAACAACAGCAACAACAGCAGCAATAGCAACAGCAACAACAGCAACAACAGCAGCAACAGCAGCAACAGCAGCAACATCAACACCAACACCAACACCAACACCAACACCAACACCAACATAACCACCACAACCATCCCCACCAACAACAACAACCCCGACGACAACAACAGCAGCAATAACAACAACGAAAACGAGACAAACACCAACACAACCACCAAATACACCAACTTCAACACCAACCCCAACCCCAACAACCAACACCAGCACCAACCCCAACAGAAACAGCAGAAACAACAGAACAACAACAACAACAACAACCACGACGACGACAACGACGACGACGACGACGACGACAACGACAACGACAAGGAACAAACAAAAACTGCAGCCCCGTCAACACACATATCTACTTTTTGTCTGTACAATCAGTAAAGACAAAAAAAGAGCTCCGTCCTGTTGTTTTACAACAACAACAACAACAAAGTGGCTAGGGTGTACAGGGCTTGAAGGATTTGCAGACGATTTCCATGTTTTTCAATATTTCAGAGGAGTTCCAAGGATTTTCGGAGTATTTGCAAGGATTTGCAAAGTACCTCCAAGGATCTTCAGAACATGTCCAAGGATTCACAAAATATTTCCAAGGATTTTCAAAGGGTTTTCTGTCCAGGGTTCACGGGTGTCTATGCTTAAGAACTTGCGGTCTTCTGGTTTTGAGACTTTAGGGTTTGGGTTTGGGCTTCAGGTCTGGGCTGCAGCGCCTAAACTTAAACCCAACGCTTTCCACAGCATTGAGATCTTTCTAAACCCCCTTCCAAATACCACAAAAACCCTTTAAAGCTATCCTAAACACCATCAAAGCCTTCCTAACCCCCACCTTCAAAATCCCATTCAAACTCTTCGAAATCCTACTAAAGCCATTCCAAGTCACACTGAAGCCCTTCAACATGACATAAAACCCTTCAAAATCCTTTTGAACCGTTCGATGTCCAATGAACACCCGTGAAAATTCCAGACAAGCCTTTGCAAAACCAACCTCATAATAACACCCTGCAGAATCTCATGACAGCATTGCCATTAAATCTCGCAGATTCCCATACCTGGGGTGGAAACGTGGTGTAATAATGTAGGTGGTTGTTGTAAGGGGGGGGGGTGTCAGAACAGCAGACGGGGCCCCAGTTTTTGTCTCTAGAAGCAGGTAGAGACTAAGTCCTGACTTCAACGGGGCCGTTGTCTCTACCTGCTGCTAGTGACAAAAACTGGAGCCACGTCTGTCGTTTTGGAACCCCCTTTACAACAACCACCCAGCTTGCACCGGACTTCTTATTATCATGGGGCAGATGCTGCCTACTCGCATTTCCCAAACCTCTTCAGGCACCCTGTGCGTGCGCCGGAAGCATTCCCAATTGTTTCTATCCAACATAAGTTGCGGGCTGCTGTTTTTGTCTGTACCAACAACAACAACAGCCACAACCACAACCCACACTAGAAGCAGCAACACCAACACCAGCACCAGCACCAGCACCAGCACCAGCACCAACACCAACACCAACACCAACACCAACAACAAACAACAAGAGCAACAACAGCAGCAACAACGACGACGACCAGGTAACCACAACCACCCTCACGCCCACTACGACGACAACAACAACAACAATTTTTCAATTGAACGCTGAGCGTGCTCTGCGCTTTGCGGGCGATTACCGCTTTGGCACTCACTATTGGGTCGAAACCGACTTCTGCTCAATTCAGAATGGCAATTGTCTAAAGCAACCAGAAAACTACGAAGACCGGAACCATTCTGAAATGAGCCTGAGCCTAAATCCTGTGGGGGGCCTGCGAGTGCTTAAAGCACTCTTGGCACGAAGGGACTGCCCATGCGA